CTCTCCTTTCCTCCTGCTTCGCAGCAGGCGCTTTCATGTCCGCAGCCGACAGACCCCCCCACCCTCCCGGACGGGTGCGAGTTGTACAGACTTTTTCCAAAATTTACGTATTTTTGAGGCTTTTTATACAGGTAAACGTCTGAAGAGGTTGACATGTATGCTGAAAGGAATAAGCAGGTAATGATGATAGATGGACTTTAAATTGCGTAATTATCCAAGTATTGTAGTTTAGATGATGCCATRGAAGAACATGCTGCATGCAAACTTAATATCTAGTAGTTGTTTATTTTATTTTTTACTTCACTAAATCCCATTCTTTTTCAAYCAGGCCACACTACATCCTGATTTTTCTAAATCAAAATTCAGTGGTAGTGTTATGCAAACCACCTGAAAATGCATTAAACACAATGGGTAAAAATAGAACTGGAGAGGTGGGGGTAAATTCAGGACGACCCTCACCAAACCTCCCTGAATCCATGCTTTTACTTGTCTCYGTTTCTTCTTAAGGAAATTGTCTCCATCTCCGTGTCCTCTGGTACCAAACAGAGCAGAAGTGAAGACATTATGTTTAGGTTGGTCTTCTATATGCATCGCACATCCTGAGGTGAAAAGATGGGTTGGTTTTACTGAGGAGAGTAGAAGGTATAATTAYAAACATGTTTTCGCTTTAGGCTGACACGACGGCCTTACGCAACATGCTGTACTGTATGAGCTTCTGTTGTCYCGGTCTGAGACGGGTGCTGTGTTGATGGATGACATGCCATTACACAAACAGAAGCTGTTATGCTACACAAGAGAAATTTTCACCATAAACTGTCATGTTCTTGTTTTTTTTTTCCATATTTAAACAGAGAAGTTCATTATACTCTAAATSTTATCAGAACTGTTAAAAATGCCAAGATTTATTCACCAAGTCGTCAAACATGAACAATCAGCACCACAGATCCTCCACACATCACACCACCAGAAATTAGTACCCTTTTTTTATGCAAAGCTAGTTTTATCAAAACTTACCCAGTGGACTGTTTGTCTTAATCTTTTAATAACGTACATTATTAAGCACACTATTGGACTTGATCTCCATGTAAAAATCACTAACCAGTGATTTGATTCACATACGCCGTGCATCTACAAAAACATCAAAATAAATAAAACTGAGCAGATGAGATGTTGGCATGAAAGTAAAAGAAAACAAATGTGCACAAAGTTAAAGTATTACCACTATTGATCTCCTTAAAATATTGCTAATTAAGTTAAAAAAACATAWATGTTTACACTTCTGTGCTCTTATGTAAGACAGAATATAAAGATGTCCTTATATTTTGATTTGGTCTTAAAGCCTTAAGGGGRGAGGGGAGTTCAGTGCTTTTTGGTATCAAAAGGTTTGGGATGACAAAGAAGTCCATGAATGTATCTTAAAAAAAGTGGGAAAAATGTTTCAAAAGGACTTCTACAGAAAGAGGAAATTACATAATTGCCATTTTGGTGATGTTTATTGTAAAGTATAGAAATGAAGAAAGGAAAAAAAACAGCAGCTTAAGCATGTTGATAAGGATTCACTCAGCTTCTTGAACCTCATTAATCTTTTGACAGCAAAGATTTCTTCTAAAATACAGCTGTATTTTAAAATCCAAGAAATTAGACAGTTCCAAGTTGCACAATATGTTTTAAAGTTTTTAGGGTTCCGGCGATGGCACCTGCTCCTTTGTATGCTGCCCTCCCAACACTTTTTAAAATTTGTCATGGCAGAAATAGTAAGGGAGACAGGAAGATCTAGCTTATTGGGTTTTATTACTTTATTACAAAAGATATGTCAAGTAGAAATAATCCCAGGGGTAAGACAGATTCTGCTACCTGGAATTGCAATTTCATTGATTTAATTTTGTAACATATCTTTAAAATCACAAAAATCAACAAGCTGGATCTTCCTGTCTCCACTGTTCTATCTGTCACGACATGAGCAAATTAACCTCCCAAGAGGACAAACATTCATTTTACACTTACACACTGAATGTATCCAACAATCAATTTTTTTTTTTTKGGGGGGGGGGGGGTATGAATATTAAGATTTCTGACATTTCATGCTCATTGACAATCTCACAAGCTGTAGAATTTGCAGCAGAATTAACCGTCAAATGGTGAATCCTCATTAGGTAAGTCGAAATACGAGACCATAAAACAGAACCGCCGGTGCAAACGCTGCTTCGGGGATCCCACTCCRCAGCAAACAAGGAGGGTGTGTGTTGTTTACTGCATGATTCAAATCATTTGGACTATTTTAAAACCCGGGTCGGCCAAAGAAGGTGAAAGTTAATACTGTATGTTCACATTCTGGAGCAGAAGTGCTGTGAGCTGATGTCAACAAGTGGAACAGCTGCAGAGAGTCTACCCACCCTCAACTCATRGCTGAACACTGAGCACTTATCTGAATCTGGTTTCGATAAAATTACAAATGAACAGTTTTTCAGTGCAGTTCTTTTAACCTGTTCATCAAACACATGGAATATTTCAGCCATATATATATATATATATATATATATATATATATATATATATATGTGTATATATATGTATATATATATATATATACACACAGTATATATGTATACAGTATATACTGTATCTTTATCCTGACCTCTCGTCTTCTGTCTGTCTGATTACATAAACGTGTTTCCATTGACGACTTCCAGCGTGACCAGCAGCTATTGATTAACCAGTTGGTGATGTGGA